GGTTACGTCACTAGACTCCCACGTAGTCGATCATGGTTCAAGTCCTACACCCAGCGGCTTAAAGCTCAGGCTAGGAGCATGTGTGTGCATGCCCAAGATCCCAAGAGGAGACTGGAGGAGGAGGGATTGCAGTGTGGGCATCCCCCAGGGGGGTGATTTCTCACTTTCCATCTCTGTCTCTCTGGCGAGTGCACGTGCCCTGTAGCAAAAATCTCTGTCTCTCAAAAAGAGGCTGTTGTACGTGCCCTGCCTCCCCACAAAGGCACGGCAACCAGAATAAGCTTCTTCACGTACCTCTTTCTGAAGTGTCCGATCTGCATGTTTACCTATCTGTTGCATAGATAAGTATCTACATTTTCACTTAATTTCTTTTTGGACCTTCTCTGTGCATTTCAAGAAACCCAGAATGTTCATGCTTGATTTTTAGTCTAAGTCTGACCAAGTAGTGACCAGTGTCCAAGTTCATGAGTAAGTTCTGTGAATTTTAGGGGATACAGAGGAAGATATAGAGTCCATTTTTAAAGAGCATACAGTATAGCCAGGCAAGCAAGATAGTACATTACTTTTTTAAAAGAATTATTTTATTTATCTATCTATTTATTTATTTTAATTTGACTAGAGAGGGACAGACAGAGAGAGAGAGAGGGAGAGAGAGAAAGAAAAAGTGAGGAAGCAAGCCGCCAGGTCCGGAACTCGAACTGCGTTTGGCCATGTGGGAGCCAGCGCCTTAACCACCACGCCACCTACTGGCCCAGTACATTACTTCTGTAAGAAGAGTGAAAAGAAAGAAGTTCGTGATTTATTTTAATGCAAACCTGAGTTTAAAAATATAATGGCTGGGACCAGCAGTTAGCGCAATGGCTATGTCACTGGACTCCCACGTAGTCGACCACGGTTCAACTCCCGGACCTGGTGGCTTAAACTCACACCGGGCACATGTGCATGTATGCCCAAGATCCCGAGAGGAGAATGGAGGAGAAGGGATTGCGGCGTGGCCATCCCTCCTGGGGAGTGATTTCTCGCTTTCCGTCTCTCTGTCTCTGTCTTTCCGGCAAGCGCACACGCCCTGTAGCAAAAACCTCTCCAAAATATATGGATCCACGTCGATCCAGGAAAGCAGGGAGTGGCAGCGGCAGAGCTGTGCGGAGCCTGGTTGAAGTAGACTCTCAGGGAAGATGCAGTGTGAGATAGCGCAGCACGTTTCACCCGGTTTAAAGATGAGTCTGCCAGGAAGACAAGGACTTCTAAATTCATGTTACGAAATAACTAATTTATTCCTCAAAATATACAAACCAATCTGATAGTGCTGAAAGAAAAAGCCTTAGTGGAGGATCTTAACTCACTCGCCCCCTTAACTTCAGACTCAACTCGAGAGAACGAGTGAGGGTGTAAGAGTTGAAGAGTGCACGGAGCAGATCGCACCTTGGTGACGAGTGTGCGCGTGTCGCTGGACCCAACTGCAGCTTGTATTCGTGTTGTTCAGATGCCCATGGAACGCTGAGACCGACAGGAGGCCACGGTAGGGCACCCCTGTGCGCGGCCGGCCTGGTGGGGAGCCCCGTGCAGGTGCCACGGTAACCTTAGCGTGCTGGGTGTGGCAGACAGCACCGGCCTGTCATCCTGGCCAACAGGCTGGACACAGTGTGGTGTGGCCTTGTCAGACATACCTCGTGACCTGTCCCCCGTCTCTCATTTAAAGACAAATTAAAAAGCAGACAATAAAGGCTGGCCCTAAAACAGATTTTCAAAAAGCTTCACATACATCGAAATCACGCAGAATGTTTGCCCTGACCAGAGAAGGCAAGGGGCACATCAGTAACGATGGCTGGGGCAGCCTCAGAGTTGCACGTTCGGAAAGGAGGACGCTCGTCTTAAATAGCCCACGGGGGCAGGAGAACGAGGAGAATTCGGCTTGCCTCGAGTCGTGACACACGGCACAACTGAAATGCATGTGTTAGAACAGAAGAGTTAGGAATTGGCGACCGGAAGTGTCTACCTCAGGGATTTCACTAGACAAGGGCGAGCACAGCACGGAGGCAGGAGGAGGGAGGTTCCAGGGACAGGGTAGAATGAGGGAGAAAAGCGTGTGACAGCGTCGGCAAAGCTGAAGGGGTGGGTTTGGGTCTCCTTAGTTTTTGCCATAGGACACAGGCACTCCGGGAGAGGGGGAGAGGGGGAGAGGGGAGGGAAGTGAGAAATCAAGCCCTCGGGGATGACCATGCCCTTCATTCTCCGACTGGGATCTTGGATACACACACCCGGCGTGTTTTCCCGGTCACCAGTCTGAGTCTTGAACTGCTTAGGCCCCGGCATCTTAACCACCCTGCTGACTACTGGCCCCAAAGTTACTTCTCTGAAAAACCTAGTAAGGGGAACCAGCAATTAGCGTAATGGCTATGTCGCTGGATTCCCACGTAGTCGACTGCAGTTCGCGTCCCGGACCCGGTGGCTTAAAACTCACGCCAGGCGCGTGTGCGTGCGTGCCCAAGAGGAGAATGGAGGAGAAGGGATTGTGGCGTGGCCATCCCCCCTGGGGGGCGATTTCTCGCTTTCTGTCTCTATGTGTCTCTCTGTCTGTCTGGTGAGTGCACGTGCCCTATAGCGAAAACCTCTTAAAAAAAAAAAAAAACCTAGTAAGTAATCACAATGGATAAATCCTTGACAAGAAAAATGAGCGAGGCAGCAAAGCTAATGTGAGGAATAAAGAAGAGATTACTGTGGAGCTTACCTTGGAGGGTATTAGGAACGAGGTTATGTTAATACATTTGAAGACGCTGTTGGAGAAACTTAGAGTACGAAGGAGCTGAAGTGCAGGCGGGCTCAGGCCCGTAGTTAAGGGCACGGAAACTCTCTGAAAGGGAAGCCCCCACCGATGGCTGTGTCGGCGGGCTCTGCTAAGTATTTGGGGACGGAGGAACTCCAGCCTTTCTCGTCATTTGTCGACCGGCTTCTCTGTGCTACCCCGACTTCCCAAGATGTAAGCTCTTGGAAGATACCTTTTGTGAGGATTCAACGGCCCTTAAAACAAGACGTGGCACAGAGGCAAGGCCAGCCTCTTTCCTGGAGTGCACCCACCCCTCCTTCTCCGTCCTCCCTGCAGTGTCTGAGCTCTGCTGGCTTCTCTCCCCGTGATGTGCCTGTGGTCCCTGCAAAGCTGAGCCTTCATCTCCTACCTGGATCCCTTGAAGGGCCCGAGGCGCGGTGTGGACAGTTTGAAAGAAGAGATGAAGGGTTGGGATATATTAATGCCGCTGGAGAAATATCGAATACATAGCACATACATTGCTGTATAAGTTTCTTTCTTAAAAGCCCTGATTTTTAAAAAAAGAATTACTTTTATTTATCGTTATTATTATTTTTAAATTTGCTAAGGGACATGTGTGCTTCCCAAAGAGAGAGAAAGTGAAAAAACAAGACGCCAGGACCAGGACTCGAACCAGAGCCAACCATGTGGGAGTCTAGCACCTTAGCCAGTATGCCACCTACTGGTGGTGGTGATTTTATTTGAATTTAGAACAAAGGACCTGATTTTATCTGAACTTAGAAGTATACGGATTATGGGAACCAGCAGTTAGCGTAGGGAACCAGCAGTTAGTGTAATGGCCATGTCGCTGGACTCCCACGTAGTCGACCGCTGTTCGCATCCTGGACCCGGTGGCTTAAAACTCACGCCGGGCGCGTGTGCGTGCGTGCCCAAGATCCCAAGAGGAGAATGGAGGAGAAGGGATTGCGGCGTGACTATCCCCCCCGGGGGGTGATTTCTCGCTTTCTGTCTCTCTGTCTCTCTCTGTCTGTCTGGCGAGTGCACGCGCCCTATAGTGAAAATCTCTCCAAAAAAAAAAAAAAGAAGTCTACAGACTGCCATCTCGTGGCCTTTCCCTTTCTTTTATGGCAAGGCTCTGCACCTGGTAGTGCGAGCGCGTCCAGCCTGAGAGTGGGGGGCGACCGGCAGCTAAAGGGTGAGAGGGAGAGCAGACGGCCCACCAGCTGTCATCCGTGTTTCTTTCTAATGACACCTCCTCCCCACCTGCTCAGGACCATTAACCTGGGCTTTGCGCATAGTCGTCGGTGGCCCTGCGCTGCTTTTCCGAATAATAGCAGTCATAGCATCTTCGTCTGGGTAGAGGGACCCCAATTTAGCTAGAGAGGCGCCTAGTTTAAGTTGAACTCTAATCTGGCCTGTGTGTTTGTTGGGTAGATAGTTTTCTTGACTTCTTATGTATTACAAGACAGTGCAAAACCCCCAGGCCTTCTGCTTGAATTGTCTTTATCGGCATTTCTTTTATTGGTCCGGTTTTTGCTATAGGGTGTGTACGCTTGCCAGACGGACAGAGACAGAGAGAAAGCGAGGAATCCCCCCCCAGGGGGGATGGCTATGCCACAATCCCTTCTTCTCCATTCTCCTCTTGGGATCTTGGGCACACACGCACATGCGCCCAGCGTGAGTTTTAAGCCACCGGGTCCGGGACACGAACCGCGGTCGACTACGTGGGAATCCAGCGACATAGCCATTACACTAACTGCTGGTCCCATTTATCAGCATTTCTTAACACATTTCACGGCAAATATACAAATATTCTTTTCTAAGACTTACTTATTTAATTTTATCTGTTACTTATTTTATTCTTAATTTGCTATTGGGCATATGCGCTCACCAGAGAGAGACAGAGAGGAAAAGTGAGAAAGCAAGCCCCCAGGTCTGGGACTCGCACGGTGGTCGGCCACATGAGAGTCCGGCGCCTTAACCACCACGCCACCTGCCAGGCCTGTACCCAAATACTCCTGAGAGAGCAGGACTTAAAACTGAGAGCAAGAATCTCTGTCTCTGAAGGATCTTCTGCTGCGGATGTGAATGCATAGGTTTGCCCTTTCCTCACCCAGTTTCCCGGCTTAAACATGAGCGGTGCCGGGCCCTCGTGTATTCAGGCGTGAGGCACGGAGTCGCGCATCCGTCTGAGTGCGTAGGTAGTCCTTCTCACGGCTTCCCGTCTTTCTTCCAGCACTGGAGAGGGGTCTTTTGAAAACACTGCAGAAATTGGATGAGTATCTGAACTCCCCCCTCCCTGATGAAATCGATGAGAATAGCATGGAGGACGTTAAGTTTTCTACGCGGAAATTTCTGGATGGGAATGAAATGACACTGGCGGATTGTAACCTGCTGCCCAAGCTGCACATCGTCAAGGTAGCCTGCGGGGGGCGGCCTCGCGTGGTGTTCATGTACTCCGGGAGGGTGCTGCTTTGTGCTCAAACCTCACCCGTTTTGTATGGCTACGGAGCCCCAAAGTAGCATAATAGCAATAACCTACAGTCAATTAAGTGGAAAATGTTGTCTTAAAGTTGAGGCATATAAGAAAAAGAATGACTTTTTTCTGTGACTGCATAGAAACCCAAAGATGTAACAGATCACCTTGACCTGGCGTTTGCTACACTGACTTCCGTTGTCCAATTCTGTTCTGTGGTCACCTGGCCTTTTCTCTTCATGGCACAAATGCTGAGCGTTACTCCGAGGGACAGCAGGCGAGGCACATTGCTGAACAGAATGGTCGTAAGCACTCCCTGCATGGTGACGGTCCACGATCGGAACCGCACGTCTAAACCAGGTGTACGTGTTAGAGTATTTGGCCGGTGATTGCACGGAGCCGTCTGCAGCGTTTGTGCCTCCGTCAGCCTTCTGGTCCTGGTGTTGTTTGCCGTCCTGGCTGTTATTTAAAAGTAGTTGACATGATGGCGACAGACTCCTTTTCCAGTAGAAGAGGTCCAGGACTCAAACCGTGGTTGGCTACATGAGAGTCCAGCGACATAGCCATTACACTAACTGCTGGTCCCATTTATCAGCATTTCTTAACACATTTCACGGCAAATATACAAATATTCTTTTCTAAGACTTACTTATTTAATTTTATCTGTTACTTATTTTATTCTTAATTTGCTATTGGGCATATGCGCTCACCAGAGAGAGACAGAGAGGAAAAGTGAGAAAGCAAGCCCCCAGGTCTGGGACTCGCACGGTGGTCGGCCACATGAGAGTCCGGCGCCTTAACCACCACGCCACCTGCCAGGCCTGTACCCAAATACTCCTGAGAGAGCAGGACTTAAAACTGAGAGCAAGAATCTCTGTCTCTGAAGGATCTTCTGCTGCGGATGTGAATGCATAGGTTTGCCCTTTCCTCACCCAGTTTCCCGGCTTAAACATGAGCGGTGCCGGGCCCTCGTGTATTCAGGCGTGAGGCACGGAGTCGCGCATCCGTCTGAGTGCGTAGGTAGTCCTTCTCACGGCTTCCCGTCTTTCTTCCAGCACTGGAGAGGGGTCTTTTGAAAACACTGCAGAAATTGGATGAGTATCTGAACTCCCCCCTCCCTGATGAAATCGATGAGAATAGCATGGAGGACGTTAAGTTTTCTACGCGGAAATTTCTGGATGGGAATGAAATGACACTGGCGGATTGTAACCTGCTGCCCAAGCTGCACATCGTCAAGGTAGCCTGCGGGGGGCGGCCTCGCGTGGTGTTCATGTACTCCGGGAGGGTGCTGCTTTGTGCTCAAACCTCACCCGTTTTGTATGGCTACGGAGCCCCAAAGTAGCATAATAGCAATAACCTACAGTCAATTAAGTGGAAAATGTTGTCTTAAAGTTGAGGCATATAAGAAAAAGAATGACTTTTTTCTGTGACTGCATAGAAACCCAAAGATGTAACAGATCACCTTGACCTGGCGTTTGCTACACTGACTTCCGTTGTCCAATTCTGTTCTGTGGTCACCTGGCCTTTTCTCTTCATGGCACAAATGCTGAGCGTTACTCCGAGGGACAGCAGGCGAGGCACATTGCTGAACAGAATGGTCGTAAGCACTCCCTGCATGGTGACGGTCCACGATCGGAACCGCACGTCTAAACCAGGTGTACGTGTTAGAGTATTTGGCCGGTGATTGCACGGAGCCGTCTGCAGCGTTTGTGCCTCCGTCAGCCTTCTGGTCCTGGTGTTGTTTGCCGTCCTGGCTGTTATTTAAAAGTAGTTGACATGATGGCGACAGACTCCTTTTCCAGTAGAAGCAGTTCTCAGAGAGTCGCAGAAGTAATCATTTGCTCTGAAACCAAAGATGGGGCTAGTTTACGAGACAAGGAAAATGCATCTGAACTTTTGATCTCTTTGTGTTTCAGGTGGTGGCCAAAAAGTACCGCAACTTCGATATTCCGAAAGGCATGACTGGCATCTGGAGATACTTAACTAATGCGTACAGCCGGGACGAGTTCACCAACACCTGTCCCAGTGATAAGGAGGTGGAGATAGCGTATAGCGATGTAGCCAAGAGACTTACCAAGTAAATGGCACTCACGAGAGAGGTGTCTGCATATCTTCCCCCGAGAGCATGCTTTTCCTAACAGACGGCTCCTCTTGCTATAAAGTAGAAACAGCATTTTGCATGAACATGCAGTTATTCGCGGTTAGGACCAAGGATAGATGAGGTATAGTTAGTTATCTTAAAATATACACTCCTAAGCAGTATTATTTTAAAACCTCCGCCCTGCCTACTTCCCTACCACCATCCTCCTCCCGTCTCACTGGGAGACGCTGCCCACCAGCTCTTCACCGTAGGGACAGCTCGTCACCTCTCTGGAGCCCTCACCATTGTGCTCGCTCGCGTGTGTAGATGGGCATTTTGAGGTGCAGTGTTGATGTGTTCAGATAGTAGCCCTGACACCCGTCAGCCCCAGGCCGGTGCGTACGGGTGGTACAAGGAGTGTGTGGAAGTTGCTGCTGTACCAGAGACGTGCTGCTTCCATTGCGTTTCTCCTGGGCATGTACTGACGGGTACTGCCACCCGAGAGGGGGCCGTCTGCAAACGGTCACCGAAGGTTGGGCTGACTTGGCTTTATAGATACCTGCTTTGCCCAAGTATTTATCCTTGGTAGCAGTTGTGGCATCTGGCACTGTAGAAGCTGAACGCTGAGAGGAGGGATGATACTGCAGGAGCTCAGCCTTTAAGCCGTGCAAGAAAGCCACGGGCACCTGCCCCCCTGCCCAGCGCCCTTCACCGGGCACACGAGCGCTTTCCGTACCTTGAAGAGCTCCTTTTAGGTGGGCGCGCAGCTTGCTGTTTGTAGGTTTTGGAGGCAACACTACGTACACTTAGTTGATTGAGGTCTAGCAGTGCAATGATTCGTCATGTAAAAATGAACACTTACAGAGATTAACCTAAGGAATGTAAGGTTTGTCAAAATAGCAAGTTGGTTTTGTTTCTAAAGCATATTTCATGTAGATAGAGTGCATTCCTCCTCCTCCATTGAAAGCAAGCTAAAACACATTACCAACTTTCCATTTCACCTCCGTTTACTGTTAGGCTTTGCAAAGAGGAGTCTTCACACCTTTTGGGCTAAATTATAACTGTTTGGTGAGTGTGTTTTGCCTAATCTTAGTCACTGCACTTCCTCAAGTTAAATCTTCCTACAGCTACGTTGAAGAATAACTTGCTGCATGGGGTTTTTGTTTTTTTATTGAAGTCCCAGACCAGTAATTATCTGTGCTCTAACGAGGGAGGATGGGCTTGGTGAGGATAAAAGCTCGCCGTCCATGTATTTATTCATTTCGGTTTTGCTTTTACAAAGTGAGCTTTCTAAGTACTCCAGAAACTGGTTGTGACTGCAGAACACCTTGGGTCACTTTTCTCCTTGACTTGTTTGAGAAGTGCTGTTTCTTGTGGGTGCTTTTCTGCCGTTTCGAGCGTCTTGCTCTGAGGTGGCAGTGTAGCTTAGCATCCAGGGCGCACTGGCTTGGTGGAGCAGCCCGACTTTCTAAGCCTGTGTTTTTGTACCTGTCGGTCGTGTGCTTAGTATAGAAAGAAAAGCACCATATTGTGTACGTGTGGCTCGGGAGTCCTTTGCCTTGTCTTTCTTCATACTCCTTATTACTGATTTAAAATTTTGAGCACCATTTTTTTTTTTTTAATGAAATATTGGATAGTGATTTACCTGGTTCCAGAAAGAGTTTATCTGGCTGTCCATGCAGAAGTGTTGCAGTGGCTTCAGTGGGTGGCCGGCCCGCCTGCCCCGGTCACTCACGGGCAGGCGTCAGCACCTGCTGCTGCTCACGTAGTAGCTACGCGGCATCCGGGTGCTACGGAAGCTGCCCATGGCTTCAGTGTGACGGGTTTGGAGAGGGGGGTTTCTGTGCTTTTAGCGGATGCTGGGCTAGGTGTGGTGGAGTGGAGGGCAGACAGAAGAAAGCTCCATGCCTCCAAACGGAGGATGACACATCCAGGCAGATTTCATGACTTTAAAAAGGAAGTCAGATGAAACAGATTGGCACATGGACAACAGCCAGGAAAGAGAGTGATCCGAAACAAGCCTTTACCCTGTCGTCTGTTTGTGGAAAGATCAGAGCCCACGTCGCGAGGCAGTTGAGAGATGCGGTTTCTTGGCAGTGCGGGCAGCACGTGGCTGACGGGTGGAAACCACCTGTTTCACTTCTGCGACTGACGGGCTTACCACTGACTGTACGCTGCAGTGTGAGGACCGACTTGGAATGGGAGGCTCGCTCACTGTTTTCCGGATGATTCTGAAGAGTTGTTGTACTCAGCAGTTGGAAAGCTCTCTACAAGTTATAAGTTTTTTTTTTTTTTAATGTAAATGCAAATTTTCTATTATCTGTTATTTTCTTTGACTAAGATTGTTAACTTTTGTGATAAAATTCAAATAAGATTTTATTTCTTGGTAAGTTTCACTTATACAACTTATCCCTAAACCCTTGCGCCATCTGTATACAATTAAGATATTTCTGACATTTATCTTAAACTACGTGGATCAACGCTAGAATTTAGGCAGTTTTACTTTATTTCTGTTGAGTTTTGAATCTCTGCAGTCTTGCATGTAGATAGCTTTTATTTCTGTGCATTAAGAAAAAGACATGTAGAAAATATCTACTAAGTGAAAATGAGGAAATTGACATTATTTTTTCATGAGCATTTTGATACACGTTTCATCCTGTTTATTGATTCTCCAGTTTCTTACACTGATTATAATTACTGTTTAATTCAAAGAGAGGGATACATTCATTGTTAATATACACACCGGCGTTTAAATTCTACCCTTTACAAGTGATCAAGGTTGGGGCCACCAAAAATGTCTTTTTATGGAAGATTTTTCCAACTCTCTAAGCCATCACGTTGAGCAGAATCGGAGTGTTTTCTTCAGAATTTCTTGACTCGGCAATGAAAGCATCTTATAGAATGCTCGTGTCTCCTTTCCTCTCTCTGAACAGCAACACCAGTGTATCGCTGGCAGCTATTGTATTAAAAATAAAGTATATTTTCACTATCATAAAGGGTTCTTCTTTCCCCTCATGAAAATAAACAACTTGAGGTGTGACAGCGTTTTATTTGAGACTGCTGTTTTCTGTGAGTGGCTGATGCAGCACACTTAATAGAGTAGAAGAATAAAAACCCGTACAATCGTCTCCGTAGGCACAGAAAACATTCGATAAACACTTTCATGATGCTCATTCTTAGCAAAATAAGACCAGAGGTAACTCTTATTTTTTAGCTTGACAAAGATTTTTACCAAGAACTCACAGCAGAAGTATCTAAAAATATGAAACAGAAGGGTGTCATGAACGTGAGGAGCGAGGCAGGGTGGCTGCTGTGACGCTGGGAGCCAGCGGTCGGCCTTGCCCACAGCTGTTGAATGTGACCTTCAGAAACAAGCAGTTCGTGCGCCAGTTGGAACAGCTCTGCCACGGAGCCTGCATCATCCACCTCACTTCATCTCACGTGGGTGTTACCATCTCGTCGTCACAAGGGTGTGTACAATGCGGTAGGCTTTTTAAAATTTTTTAAATTAATTTTTTTTCCCCATAAGGCACATGTACTTGCAGGAGTCAGACAGTGAGAGACAAAGAAGGGAAGGTGAGAAATCACTCCCTAGGGTGGGTGACCATGCCACAGTCCCTTCTTCACCCTCCTCTGGGGATTTTGGGCACCCATGCATGCGTATCTGGTATGTTTTTCAAACCTCCAGCTCTGGACTCGAACTGCAGAGTCGGCCACGTGGGATCCAGCACCTAAGCACCATGCCACCTGCTGGCCCAGTGCTGTAGATATTTTAAGAGGGAAACCACATTCATGTAACTCTTTTTGTTTTTGTTTTTGTTTTTTGAGAGGTTTTTGCTATAGGGTGTGTGTGCTCGCCAGAAAGACAGGGACAGAGAGACAGAAAACGAGAAATCACCCCTCAGGGGGGATGGCCACACTGCAATCCCTTCTCCTCCATTCTCCTCTTGGGGTCTTGGGCACACATGCACACGCACCTGGTGTGAGTTTTAAGCCACCGGGTCCAGGACTTGAACCGCGGTCGGCTGTATGGGAGTCCAGCGACATAGCCATTACGCTAACTGCTGCCACATTCTTATAATTGTCATATTATTATTGTTCATCTCTTGCTGTGCCTCTTTTATAGGGAGTGAGCATTATCACTGGTGGGTCGGTATAGGTAATGTTCGTGGTTTCAGGCATGTGCCAGGGATCTTGCCATGGGTCACCCATGGGTAACAAGGAACTCGTTTGCTTTCCACAGCCACTTTGTTTAGGGACACCCTAGCCGACACAGTAAGACAGTGAAAGGGTAAGGAGAGGGGAAGGAGGGACAAACGAATGCTCTTTGCAGTTGTGTTGCGTGCATGCATATAAAATCCAGAATAACCTACACATGATCGGAAATAAGAACTCATCTGGCTCCCTAGACACTGGGTTAAGGGGCAGACATCAATATCATCGCTATAGGCTAGTCTTACCTCCGTACAAGTTAGTGGCAGGCTGGCTCAGGGTGTCGCAGGTGGGCCCTGCCCACGATCAGCTGTGCTTCAGACCCTGGCCCTGCAGACTGGAAATCCGCGGGCCTGCGCCCAGGACCCTGGCGGGTGGAGGGCTAGCGGGGAGAGGGCTGTAGCACACCAGGCCCTCTTGGAGGGCGCCTTCTCTCTGGTGCACACATGTACACCATCTGGCAAAAACCAGTAAGTTAATAAATGGTTAACATGGGTTTCTTCTGGAGGAAAACTGGATGCTGAGGAAAATAGGTGGGAAGTAGGTAACTTTTTGAGCTTTTAGAAATCTGTGAATATGTTACGCTAAAAACCGAAAGTACTGTAGTTTGAGCTTTTAGAAATCTGTGAATATGTTACTTTTACCGTAAGTACTGTAAGAGATAAAAGAACCCGAGGGGGTAAGCTGTTTAGTGTGAAATCTGAGCAAGCTTGTGCGGTTCCTTTGAGAAGGTCCGAAATACCGAAATACCTCATCTGTTCGGTGGACCTCGTGGATGGGGAACTCGGAAACGGAAGAATTTCCACTCTGTCTCAAATGATTTCTAACTTCAATGTATTTTTTCCCCTAACAAAATCCCAACAGGGTTTTGAGGATCTAGATGAATGGATTTCACGTTCACATGGAGGAGTTACACCCCCGAATCGCCGCATGTGTCTGGGGGGGGGCGAGGGGCGCAGGAGTTCTGGTCGGGTTAGCGGGTCACGGTCCTCGGACTGCGACGAGAAGACCCTGGAGGGAAACGCCAGGGTAATGAAAACAGTGACACTGTGCAGGCGGTCGGGCCCGAGTGGACTGCCTCTCGGCCAGGCCCCTCTGAGGTGGGCGGGGCCGCTGTGTCCCCTCCGTGGCATTGCTGATTCGGGCCCAGATCTGAGCAGTGGCGCTGGCCCAGGCGGACGGGCTCTTCTGGGGAGAGCAGGTCATAGGCTTTGGTTATGGGGTGCACTGGGAACCCGACACCCCCAAACACATGACTATTTTCCTAAGAAATGTGCCCAACTCCTACCTCCAGGGCACGCTAGAAGCTAAAGGCAGGGCTTCTGAAAGGCAGAGACCCGCACGCTGCAGTACTCACAGGTTTTCACTAGGGGGGGCTGCCCAGGACGTGAGCAGCCCGGCGGGTGCCTGCACCGGGCGCTGGGAGTGGGACTGACCAGGTGGGCACGGGGAGGCTTTTGGGATGATGGAATTGTCCTAAAAATGAACTGTAGGTAAGGGTTTAGTATCCGGAATAGATAAAGAATGTTTACAACTCAAGTATAGAAAGACAATCTTATTTTTATAATGAACAAAGAATCTGGATAGATCTCCAAAGAAGATATACAGATGGCAAATAAACACATAAAAAGCTTAACTTTACTTATGATTAAGGAAGAACAAACCCAAACCACAATAAGATACTGCTTCGCCCAGCAGGACAGCTGTAGCCACGACCATGGCAGATACCGAGTGTTGGCGGGAGGCAGAGACCGGGAGGCCCTCGGGCCTTGCTCTGGCACTGCCGTAGTGCAGCCACTGCGGAAGACAGCTGCCTCGGGCCTCAGCAGTTCCACTCCTAGGTTTACGCGCAGTCGAAAACATCCACACCTACTGTGTGGACCTTCATAGCAGCCTTCCTAATAGCTAAAAAATAGAAACCCATGTCCGTCTCGTGAAGGGATGCACAGAATGTGGTACAGCCACGTAGCTAGCACTGCTGAGCCTTTTGAAGGAATGAAGGCTGAACCTTGAACATGCTCAGCAGAAGCTGCCAGATGGGACCAGCAGGTGGCGTGGTTCAGGGGCTGGACCTCCCGCATGGCCACTCTCTGTTTGGGTCCCAGACCTGGTGGCTTGGAAATCAGGCACGTGTGTGTGTGTGTGTGTGTGTGTGTGTGCATGCCCCAAAGTTCCAGGAGGAGAATGGGAGAAGGGGTTGCGGCATGGCCATCTCCCCTGGGGGTGATTTCTCCCTTTCCCCCTCTGTCTCTCCAGCGAGCATATGTGCCGTATGGCTAAACCTTAAAGAAAAAGAGAAGCTCCCAGACACTAAAGGCCACATGTAATGTGATCCCAGAACAGGTGATAAAACAATGGAGAGGGAACCAGCAGTTAGCGTAATGGCTATGTCGCTGGACTCCCACGTAGTCGACCGCGGTTCGCGTCCTGGACCCGGTGGCTTAGAACTCACGCCGGGCGCGTGTGCGTGCGTGCCCAAGATCCCGAGAGGAGAATGGAGGGGAAGGGATTGAGGCGTGGCCATCCCCCCTGGGGGGTGATTTCTCACTTTCTGTCTCTATGTCTCTCTGTCTGGCGAGCGCACGCGTCCTATAGTGAAAACCTCTCCAAAAAAAAAAATTAAAAAAAAAAAAACAAAACAATGGAGAAAGAGCAGACTCATTGTTGCCAAGGGCCCTGGGCAGGAGGCAAGGGGAGTGACTTAATGGGTATGGGATTTTTGGGGGAAGGATGGGGATGCCGACCTAAGATTCCACACTCGGGGAAAATATTTTCCACAACAAGGGCAAAATAAGGTTTTTTTTGTTTTGTTTTTGTTTTGTTTTGTTTTTTTTGAGAGGTTTTCGCTATAGTGCGCGTGTGCTCACCAGACAGAGAGACAGCGAGAAATCACCCCCCAGGGGGGATGGTCACACCGCAATCCCTTCTCCTCCATTCTCCTCTCGGGATCATGGGCAC